TAAATATAGTATAAATATAATAGTGATGTTAAAGTAAGAAGAACGATAAAAATGACCATAAATTGAGAATGGGAAGGGAATAAAAAAGAAATGAGTTTGTTTTTTTCTTTTTTTTCTGCTGTTCTTTATTGAAGGGGTCGAAAAAGTGGACTGTATGAATGACATTTGCCCTTGGGATCGAAAATATAGGGAGGTGATAATAATTTGTAATCCGTCTCTCGACAACTAATCCCAGCAATTTGTGGCTGTACAAGTAGAGGGAAGAAATGATGATACAGAAAAGATACTTCCGGCTAGATATTTGTAGTTGATAAAGGGCGAGACTGCTTGACAGAAAAGATTATTCCAAGGAGAGTGCTCTTGTCTAAATTAAATATTGACATTCAGAATTTTCTTTTTCTGATGTTCGATTCGAATGGTAAATTAATCGTGTTTTTTTGCTACGGAGCAAATCAAATATGAAAGAACAGTATTTAATAATAAATTTTTATATTTATTGTTGTAGTACAACTACACTGAATTTTTAATAAATAGTTTAGTTATTATTTTCGTAAAATAGCATTCAATCTAAAACAGTTTAGTAATCAGTCCAAAACTAGAAGCAGGCCTCGTATTCAGTGAAAAAAATCCTTTTTGTCCTTTTTCGACTATTTTGTTATTAAAATATATATTTAAAAAAAATAAATTCTTAATTGCGAACGATCTTGCTAAATATGATTATAATTACTATTATTTATTAATACGATTGATATGTTGAACGAAAATTGAAAATTTTCTAGCTATAGTGAATCTAATAAAGTAAATTTTTCACCTTTAGAGAGTAAAAGATTTTTAGAAATTTTCCTTTTTGAAGAGTACTAAAACTAGTCTTTCATCGGCAATGAAAAAGGCAAAGGGGAAGTTTAATTGACAAAACTTGACAATTCCCAAAAGTCACTCGTACCCATTTGATCATTTTCATCCTACGTATGGTATATAGCAAGAGATTCATAGCAACTCTAATTCGATTTGTAGCCGCTCGAATTTTGTCGGTCATGTTTCATCTACTGACATTCGAGAAGAGAGATCTCTGCAGCCTCTGCGAATTGTATGAAGCGAGGCATAACATATGATATGAATATTGAGTCTGGCAAATTGAGTAGTACTTCATCTTTAAAAAGTTTGGAAAATTTTTCTCTTCTATACCTATAACTTTGCCAACCACTATTTTACGAAAGAGTGCGGTTTAGCCAAGAAAAATAAATCATATCGGAAAAAATTGTCACCAACTATAATTTTTTTCCCCCTTTCAAATAAAATTCCAATTGAAAGCATATTCCGAAAACGCAATCAAGTGGAAGTAAACATAAAACAATTTTAAAAAATGTTTCTCTCTCTCTCTCGAGAATTGAATACATAATGTATTCACACTTTCTGTATATATCTCTTCAAATGAAAAATGTAGATACATTCCTTTTATTCCCATACACTTGAAATCGTAATTCAATTAAGGGGATCGTTTTCGTTTCAAAAGAACATTGCTTTTATAGAAGCGTCTCTTCTCTGATATTTTAAACATAAGATGGTGTCCTAACAGGAAGGGTACATTTGTAAGTGTCAACTGTTGTATCTTTTCTGTCGTCCAATAAAAATGTCCCCATAACTTTTACTCCTGATTGCTGACTTATTCACACACGAAATATTTCCCACCACAAAACACGACTCTCGATTTATTTTACTCCCATCACGCTCGCATTTGTTTTCTTGGAAAAATTACTTGAGGGATTAGAAGACAAAGTTTACTTTAACCAAAAAAATAAATAAATTTGAAAAAATGGCATTTTTTCAAGAAAAAGTCTAGCGTAAATTTGTTGTGAACATCAAATAATTAGTATTGCTATATATAAAAAAAGAAAGTTCGCCTTTACGCTATCCCCACTTTTTACACATTGCGCGCGCATCAAGTCTTTTCATGGAAAAAATAGAGTAACTCTTACTATTTACTTCAGTATAAAATCCAAACTGTCTGGAACTTCTACGCACTTCTGTTTTGCAACTTTTACTATTTTCGGAGTAAATTTTGCTACGTTTGAAGTGCATTTTACTTATTTTTACAAAAATGTACTTCGAACGTAGCAATTTTTACTGTCGAAAATAGTAAACATTTGTAGAAATGAGAAGTTTCTTAGTTTACTTTTTACTGTCAAATTATAGTAAAAGTTGCTATTTTCGAATTTTTCCTTGTTCTTTTACACTCACGGAGAAAAATCGAATTTAAAAACAGTAATAATTAGATTGATTAATGGAAATTTTTACTATTTTGTGAATAACTTTTCACCAACTTAGATTTAAAGAGATAAATTAATAGTACCTAAATAAATAAATATTCGAAAAAGTAAATTGAAAATATAAACTAAAGATACAATTTGAAAATGTAATTAAAAAAACTGTCTCAAAAATACAAATTGAAATTAAAAAAAAATGTGAATTTCTAATTACTCGATGAAGGGTTTATAAATCACTGTTTTCATTAATTAACAGTGAGTAATAGAAGTTTTGAACGATACTAACTATCGAGTTTCAAAGTTGGTGCCTAGTTTCTGAAATCGTCGTTAATTCCCAATGCTTATTAACGACCGTTAACGACCAAATCGATTCAGACTTGGCCAAATTACGTAAGAAACTTAGCGCGACTTGTCGTTGGCTGCTTGAGCAGCCAAATGTCGAGCGTCGCTTAGTGCGATTGCCGAAGTTAGTGTGATTAATTTCGAGTTAAATTAGATTGCGAGCGAGAGAGAGAGGGAGACAGAGAGAATATTTACCACGTGTAGAAGAATTCGCTAAGTTTGCGAAACGTGATTCGTTCTCTCTTCTGTTCCCTAATTTTCATTCAATTGTCGGCAATCAAGAAGAAGGAGAAGAACCTTTCCTTTAAATCTAATAATCTCATTTAAAGATCGAAAAGAAAATGTTTTCCATCCCCTTTGAAAATTTCGAAAAATAGATTTCTCTCATTTCAATAACTATCGTAAAGTCAATTTTTTAAAATCATTTTTTCAAAAATTGATTATAGAAAATTGTATTGGCTCGAGATTAAAAAATTGAATCAATAAATCAAATATATTTTGTGAAAATAATTACAATAACTATTATTCAAAGATTGTTTAAATAAATTATTATTGTTATTTACTAACTTTTTATACAATTCACCTTAATACAGTCTTTTTTTAATTATGCAATTTACCTAATTAGTTTCGGCTTTTTTCCTAATTAAGCAAATTACCAAACTTTAATTATAAATTCCGCTGCAGATAAAAAAGAAAATTATTATTTAAACCATTTTTATGCAAATTGTGGTTGTTATTTATTAATTTTTTACAGAATTGTTTAAATAATAATTTTATTTTTAATCTAAATCGGAGGCATTAGATAGTTCGACTTTTTTCGACTTGTTTCAAAAATTTTATAAATTTGTATTAAAAATAATTGTTTTTTTTAAATATTTCATTTAAATGTTTGATAATCAAATGTATGTATATTACTAGAAAATTATATTTTTAAAATTTTTAATCAAAATTCTTCAGAAAATTGATTAGTTTTTTAAATTATCTAAACATTTTTTTAAGAAACTCAATTATTTTAAAAGAAGTATGGAAAAACCATACCTATATTTTCATTTTTGCAATTAAATTCTTCAAAAACTTGATCATTTTTTAAAATATTTTCCAAAAATTCTTTCAATTTTATCTAATTTTTTAAAATTTAATTATTTTAAACACTTATGGTAATAATTTTTAATTAATTAATAATTCACCTTAATAACTTTAGAAAGAAATTACAATTATTTTATTAAAAAAAATTAACTTTCATACACGGAGAGAAAATATATATTACATTTTGTAAAAGTATTTTACAATTTGGGGAACAAGTGCAACAAATAGAAATTTTGACATATAGAAAATACTGAACAGTGAAAGAAATAATATGAAATTTAGAAAAGTTATATTAAAATTTAACTAAAATTCTTAAATTTCACATAAGTTTTTTTAAAGTTTATATCAAAATTTCGCTTTGTCGCATTTTTTCCCCAAATTGTGAAATACTTTTACAAAATTTAATATAATGTCCTCTTCGTGTATTTAAATAACTGAATTCTCGAAAAACTTTTTGATAATTATTAAAAATAAATAAATAATTTGATTTTGAGAAGAAATTTAGTCGAAAATTCTTGAAAATAATTAAATTTTGTAAGGATTGCTTATCTAAATTTTTAGAAAAACCTCATTAAATTTCAGAATTTAAAAAATTTAATTTTCTGAAGAGTAAAAAATATTTTGTGCAACACCTGTAAGGAAAGTAATACTTTGCATGCCTGTAAAGTATGCGCAAAACAGTACTTTGCTGCACTAGTGCGGCAAAGAGCTTACTTTGCTGCACTAGTGCGGCAAAGTGGTTATTTTGCTGCACTAGTGCGGCAAAGTTCTTAAACTTTTGGTTTTTTTTTGGTGATATACATAAGTATTTGTTTTCTATTTGTAGAATACCTGTTTTTTACAGTAATATACGCGTAAAAAACCACGAATATTAAGTGCGGTAACATACGTTCCAAACCCTGCTAAATAGTACGTATGTTGGCGTCAACTAGCGTTTCCAAACAGCTTTTTTTATCAAAACCAAAAGGTGTTGCACAAAGTACTGTGTGCAACACGTACGAAAGAAGATTTTCCAACTTCGTGCAAATTGCTGCCCTCGCTTCGCTCGGGACAGCAAACTTTGCACTCGTCGGAAAACAGCTTCTTTCTGTACTTGTTGCACAATATACTATTGTTGTTTTATTTTTCGAATAGGAAAATTTTGTTCAGTGACTGAAAATCGCGATTAGATTTGGTGCAAAAATTGAATAGATGTAAAATTTGTATTGCTTGACTACCTCTGATGATTTCTGATAAAGCGAAATTTTTTTTTGTCAACAAGATATAAAATCGTTTTTTTTTTTTTTTTACAAATTTTGTGTTACTTACATGTCTCGTGTCCCCAGCGAGAAGTGGAGTGTTTGCCTGTAACAATGTTCTTCTCGTTAAAACCGAAATTTCTTTTTTTTATCAAAAATATTTCGCATTAACAGTGAAAAACATTCCGCATGCTCTTCAAATTCTCGTGCAAAGTTGCAATTCAAATCTAAAATTTCTACGTTTTTTTTTTTTGAAATCTACAAAACAGAATTTAAAAAAAAATAAAGTTCTAACCCAATAAACGTGCACCGAAATAGACAATTTAGTCATTTTTCTATTACTAATTGTTTATGAGAAGAATAAACCTGAAGCTTATTCAAACTAAAACACGGCTTAATATTTAAATAATTAAAGTATTATTTATAAAGAAATTTTTTTCGATTCTCGGTAGATGATGGGAAAAATTATTTCAAATTAAAGTATTATTATAAATATAACTTAGTAGAATTATTATTAAACTTAGAAAAATATAAAATTAAATAGTATATAGAGTAAATAAAATATGAAATAATTAAGTAAATAATTAAACTGTTTTAAAAAACGTACAATATAAAATAAAATTCTTTTAATATTTTGAACGTTCAAGCGAACGAAATTTCTTTCTTGAGTAAATAGTTTTAATAATTTACTGAATAAAATAGAAAATAATGTAAACTTAACATTTTTATTTAGTTACGAATTAATTTTTTCAATAAAATAATTTTCTAATATTCTAAGTAATTTTTTTGATATTTTTTCAATGAAGTACGAATTAAATGAAGTAACAAAAAATGTCCTTTATTCGAATGTTCGAAATTTTAGGATCCTGAAATAAATAATTAACAACAAAATAACTTTGATTTAAATGTATATTACAAAAAATAAAAAAAATGTTAATAAATTGAATTACTATTATATTGAAATAATATGAAAAGTAACATTAGGTAGTAAAAATAAAAAATGAAATTCTCCAACTCTGCAAAATGTTGAAAAGAAAACATGTGTCATAAATCTTGTTCGGGGAATTCTTGCGCTCTACTATATATATATATATATATATATTTTTGCAATTGTTTAATTCTTGGGAAAATATCTGGTTCGAGGCAATATAATATACACATAGGGGGGCGACAATATTATGATAAAACAGTGCCAAACTGTGTGTCTGTATTATGTTTAAAAGCGAACATATTACGTTTGGGCTGTTGTCTGAAAATACATGACGTGGAAACTTGCCTCTTGACCAAAAATAAGTGGCCCTGAACCGATCTTGGATATTAGCTTCATTTACCGTAATGGCAATAAAAAATGATTTAATGTAAAAACACCCTGCTGGATAAAAAATCACATAAAAATGAAAAAAAAAGAAAAGAACATTTTTTTATTCTTTTATTTTTTTAAAATTCTGTTTATATTTTAGTTATCTTCTTTCTAACAAATAACATTTATTTTGACCAAATACAACTTTTTTGTAACAAATAACGAAGCAAATAAATATCATATAAAATTATCAGTTAGAATGTTTGCTAGACAGAATTTTATTAGATAGAATTTTCATGCAGTTGATTTTAAAAATTGTAATATTTTAAATTAACTATACTAATTTGAATGTTCTTTCATTCTTTCATTCACTTTTTCTGGTTTCTGCCCCTCACACTCTGAAGTTGTCTTTTGTTTATACTTTTGTTTTTTGTTAACTTTCGATAGAAAATAGAAATCATCAGAATTTTTTTTACTTCTTTTCATTAAAAGACTAAAATTTTGTTAAATATTATGTTTTGTCAAATTGAAATTATTTTTGTTCTTTACTTCTAAAAAAATTAGAAAATTATTAAACAACTGTGATTAAGAAATAGAAAATTTATTTATTTTCCATTATTTTCTATTTCAATCACAATTTTTTTATGAAAATTATTATTTTGTTTTATAAAAAGAAGAAAAATATTTGCACAATTTATATTTTAATCTTATCTTTGGAACAGGATTTTCCACAGGAATTAAGACATTCAAAAATTCAAAATTCAAACCTTTTTTTAATTAAACAACTTATAAAAGTATTGTTTATAAAACATGAATATATCAATTTCTTCATGTTTTCTAATAATCGAAGATGACCGAGAGATAAAATCATTATTTTACATTATAAGAATATTGTTACCGTAACTTCATCAAAATTATTTTCATCATTTTAATTCAATTATTATTTTCTAGAATTTTAAATTATTTTTTATGAAAATAATAATTGAATTCCTTGCGTGAAATTTTAATTATTTTATGAATATAATTAAATGTTTGCGCAGTATTTCAATAAAATTTTTTATAATTGAATTCTTTTGAAAAATTTTAGTAGATATTATAAAAATCATTGAATTGAGGAAAATTTTTGAAATTTTTGCCGAGAATTTTTTCAATATTTTTTTATTATTATTATTTTATTATTATTATTTTATTATTTATGAAAATAATTGAAAACCTACATACCTATAGAATTTTATTATTTATGAAAATAATTGAATTCCTGGTTAAAAAAATGTTATTCTTCATGAAAATAATTGAATTATTGCGAAGAAATTTATAAAAAATTTATAAATAATAGAATTCCTCTGAAATTTTTATTATTTAATTCATTCATTTAAAATTGTCATTTTCTAAAATTTCAAATTAAATTTTTTTTTAAATAATTGAATTCGTTTTGGGAAATATTTTATTAAAATCGTAGATATTGAAAATCATTAAAATTAGAAAAATTTTTGATAATAATTTAACTTTGGAGAAGAATTTTGTTATTTATAAAGATAATTGGGATTTTTACGAGAATTTTTTTCAAGATTTGAACATAGTTGAATTTAATAAGAAGAATTTTATTTTTTTTTAAAGAATTTTTGCAATTGTTTTTAAATTCTACAAAATTGAATTTTTTTTGAGTATTTTCAACAAAAATTTAAATTAGAAAATTTTCAAATTTTATTATTTTTAAAATTGATAATTTTATTTAAAAAAGGTAGTAAGAAGTTAGCCGCGCGATTTGTTGCTAGTTAACTATTAACTACTTATAATAATTTGAATGTTCTTTCATTCTTTCATTCATTCACTTTTTCTGTCCCTCACACTCTGAAGTTGTCTTTTGTTTATACTTTTGTTTTTTGTTAACTTTAGATAGATTATTTATAGATTGAATATTTTATTATGTTATAATTATTTTTATTTTATAATTAATTCAAAATTGAAATGACAAATAGAAATCATCAGAATTTTTTTTACTTCTTTTCATTAAAAGACTAAAATTTTGTTTTAAATTGATTAATTTTAAATTGTATAGTGAAAAGTTTTTAACAGAATATAAGGTCACCGACTTCTTTTTTATCAGAATCTTCATTTGATTGAAGTTTTATTTAGCAGTCTTTTTATTTAAAAGATATGCTGACTAATCAAATTACATTTTTTTTAAATATAAAGACTATTAATTGGAACTTCAATCAATTGAATATTCTGATAAATCAAAATTCTGTGATTTTATGTTCAGTTAAGTAAAATTTTTACTATTTAAAAATTCGCGCTAATTTAAAATAGAAAATTTTTAAACCAAAGCTATATGAAAATTCTATTCAATAAATATTCATTCAAATAATTTGTATGTGATATTCATGCGCATTCAAATAACATTTGTTTGAACTAAATAAAATTTATTTATAAGTAATAAAGTTTATTTGCAGAAAATAAAAAATATAGTGGCCTCTGAGAAAAATATATCTTCTTCCTTGGTGTAGGACTAGTGCTAAAAAAGTTAACGATTAAAAAATTAATTTTTCGATAATTTAGTAAATTCGAGTTCGTTTACAGTTTGATAGAAATATTGAATTATTGTTTCTATGATTTTCAAGGACATAAAAGTCTAGTTGGCAACTCTTTTTCATCAACCCTAGTCCCTAAAGGATTGTCTGACACTCCTAATTGGAATTTGTTGAAACTCGAACCAATTTCTTCTTCTTGACACCAAATCCGTTTTGCCTCTTCAGACATTCTCTCCTTCTCTGTCATTTTTCACTTTCAACCACAACTGTGTTTAAATTATTCGCATCAATTCTGTTGCGATTTTCGAACCTTTTTTGTAAAAGATTTATAACAAAACATTTCCATTAACAATGAAAGAACATTTTTTGAAAATATTGAATTAAATATATAATTTTCTTTTGCAATTGTACCAAGAAATATGTTTTTAACAAACTTTAGTATATTCGTCTGTATATAGCGAAGATCTAGATTGAAACAAAATATGGTTGATTCAAATAAATATTTTTCTCCGTGTGGTATATTTAATTAAGTGGAAATATTTCCTCCTTTTTTTCTAGCTCTCTCATACAACGACCGGAAACTCTTTATAGAATTTTGTTTAATAAGATAAATGAAATTTTTTAATTTAAAAAAGTATATTAGAATTAAAATATCGAAGAATTACTTGAAAGAAAAGTAATTTACGTTTAATTACTTTACAAAGAGTAGTAAACAATCAAGCATTTGATAATGAAAACCAAATACTACGCAGTTAACCGGAAGATAATGAGAATTTCCTAGGGAAAGTAGTGGTAGTAGTAGAGAGGGAGAGAGAGAGAAAGAGAAAAAAAACATCAGCAGTTTCTTGAAAAGCTGAAACGCAAGTCACAAAGGAGAAGAGTAAATTAAAACAGCTTTTTCTCCATACCAGAGAATTTCAGTAACGTTCTGCTTGACGTGGACTTAAAATCATTTAAAGCATTTCTAGAAACTGTGTATTCTTATTTCTCTTTGAATTCGATTTTTTATGGACGATTCTTTTTAGAAAGTAACATTTTCGATGAGTTGATTAAGTTTATAAAATCTTACTCGATAAACTAACTTCTTGCAGATTTTTTCAAATTCTTAAACATTTTTTTAAAAGAACAGTCTGAAACTATAATGTTTCTTCTATTATTGTATGCATTTTTTAAAGTTTTAGTCTGCAGCTTTCTACTCATTAATTTAAATCAGTGAATTCTTTTTTTACTATTATTCATATTTAGAATCTTGTTAGAAATATTCACATCAATTTC